GTGTTTTCAGTATATTTAATTGATTTTAATGTGTATTGTAACACAAGAAAATCAGTCTTAAAACGAACATTAAAACAGTCATTCAACAATGTTATTTCAAAGTATACATGTGCCGACAGTAGTATTTTTAATTGGCAATGAATATGTTCCAAATTAAATTTCAAACTTAATCCCTTCAATATATATTTTCATTATTTATTTTTTTTCTGCAGAAATGCGAAAAACAGATCAAAAAATAAATTGAACAAATATTTAAACTTCATGGAAATACTAAAGGACTCTTTGTCTTCGGCATGTTCGGTGAAACGAGATTTCCATACCTCCACTGTGTCGAATGATTTTGATTGACAGCATTAGCACGTAGACTTCCTGTTAATCGTGTGAACCTGAAGATGGAAAATAAATGGCGATGAATACTGTCAAATGGATTTGTTAATCTTCAAAACCGTGATTACTTTTACTGCTTGGAAAATTTAGAAAAAGATAATGAGAATTTTTATTTGATACATCAGATATCTGAGAATGAAGGGTCTCTCTCTCTCTCTCTCTCTCTCTCTTTCTATAAGATAATGAATTAACAAAAAATCAATGTTTGGAATACGACATTTAACGGACAATGTTCAAACGTCTTCAGAACCTTTTTGTGCATTAGTGATGATGGTACTTAAAAGAAACAAAAACCTGCATTTATATTAACATTATTAATCTGTGATGCGAAGCAAATGTCGCCAACTTTCCATTGCAGAACAAGACATTTAGCATGATCTGACACAATACTATCCGTTAACTCGCGATAGCAACCATAAAAAAAATATTTATATTGATATGAAACAATTATCAAATTCATTCATTTATAAATCTCATAACTGTTATTAAAATGAATGTTGTTATCAAGACAATAAAAATATTAATGCAACCACAACACGAATGGCTACATTGTCCTTTGAAATTATTTCAGACAAAAGACATAAAGACATTTTATGAGTGATTTGTATTTAACTTTTTCAAGATGGGACCAGTTAATATTTATCACTTGGATTGGGCCCGTGAGAAAAAAATGCGTTAAAAATGAATGACTTGCTCCTACTCTCAACATTATATTAAAAGTGTATATGCCCCACCCGCAAAGTCAACAAAACAATTCAAAACAGTAGCAGAGCAAACAGCCTCTAAAACATAAAATGTGGGACCAGGTGCCATGGAGGAGTGAGCATTCCCTGGCCACGGGTCACATCCGCAGTGTGCTCCTTGTCATGAATGGGATATAAAGGAAAAATCCATCCTTAATTCAGTATGAAAAAAGTCAGTCAGCATTTGACTCAATGATAGATTGTATCTGAAGACAAGGTCATTGTTTCGACCATATACCTTAAAAAATGATAACATTAAACGAGACTACTGATATTCTTGTTTCATTTACTTTTTTTTGGTGATTCTTTATCTCGTTTTTGAAATTGTTCATACGAAGAGCATGTTCTTCCTTATCGAATCAATTGAGATACTCCGTATGACGTTGAGGAAGGTATATTACTGCATAAGTAAGGGAAGTTGACGATAGAAAAGTTAACTACGTTTATCAAAGAGCTTGGTTTTTAACATTACCATTAACTTCTTTTCGAGTAAAATATCAAAATATGAAACAGATCTGTTAGACTATGTGGTATCGTTTATCTTAGGCTCATAAGGATATATCGTATCGAAATAAGCATTGAAATTACAACTGTTAATTGACAATACATTGTAGATATGTCTAAATGTCGAGTTGAAGCTAACATCATAGAGTTTTGCAAAAATTCTGTTTCATGTGAAAAAGAGGTCTGATTTTGCCTGTTTTGGAGGGTAACAGTTGAAATTGACACCCCAAGGAAAACCATGACGCGTCGGTTGACAATGGTTTTCCGAGGGGTGTCAATTTCAACTGTTACCCTCCAAAACAGGCACCAATTATTTTATTATACTGAATGTCTTTTTGATTTACTATGTCAGCAATACAAATCGTCGATCGCCTTTTCGTTCACGTTTAAAAAGTTGTCAAACTCCCCGCTACTTCGAAAAAAGATTAACCGACTTCTTTATTGTTTATTTGATACTCTACGAGTCCTTTATCATCTAAAGTTTCGTTATTTCTGCACTCACAAGCATGTTTCGTCTGTCTTGTTGTTTTCAAGTAAGCTACATCGGACGCAAGCTTTTATTGACGTCAAGTTTATTCCATTTCTTTCAAACGCGCAACTGACGTTTAGAGAATTCTACGGTGAACCGTACGCTCACAATTTCCACGCATGTGGCATTACCGTTGTGTTACCCGTTGCCACATGTGTTGCTAAGGCTGAGGGTAATAAAACGGATTTTTAACTACGTCTTACCAATCAGATTTTAGTATTTAACATGAAAGTATAATAAAAAGTGATATGAATATTCAAAATATTGATTTAACGTCCATAGCTACCCGGTATGTATTTGCTTGCAAATTGTACATGCATGATTTAATAATTAATATAAAGTGACTTAAAAAAAAGAAATTTGGTAGCTTCTCAGTCTTATGTTTTTTTCTATATATGTCCCGTATTGTAAGAATAATTATTCCAGGTTTAGTATAAATCAAATTTGGGTCCAGAAAATGAAATATGAATCAATAAATTCCAAACAGAAAACCTTTCAACACTTAAATTGCACTTTTTTCTCTGAAGAAAGCAATCTTAAACACAAACAAACAAACAAACAGATATCTTATGAGAAAGCATACTGGAATATTGTAGATTTAATTGCAAATTTGTTAAGATCGTTTTCCCACGGGATAAGCTTGGACCGCCATAGGAATTTGTTTTAATTGGGAATACATTGGAAAAATCTTTTAAAGAAGGACAGCAATTTCAGCAAGCTAGACATTTACGTGATATACTTTTGCATTGGCACCGCATAAACTTTTGCATCCATAATTAAAATAATATCCGCGAAACCCGTAGTGGTCGTTAATTGTTCGAAAAAAATTACTTTAAGACATTGAAGAAGAACACACAATGATTAAACATTTATCATTCCATTAAAACCTACTGGTACTACGTATAAAACAATGTTAATTTCCTCCATAGCGATGAATTAACAATTCCTAAAATCGAAGCAGGAATCAAAATAGGTCATCTGTTAAGAATAAGCTGATGGAATGGAAATTTTTATGAAAACGGAATGTTTACTGCGATTTAATGACGGAAAAAAAAATTGGATTTTTTTCGAATGACAAAAATGACAAAAATTAATGTTAAGTCAAACCGAATGCACTGGGGAAAAGAAAGAAAATAGTGGTATTTTGACTGAGGATTGTAATTAATACATAATGATTTAAGTGAATTTTACGAATTCTTGTGACAGGTTTACTTCTTATTAATGTATAGCTACGGTCAAGAATTATTCGTAAACAAATTAATAATGTACAATATTATATGGTCTCAGTTCAACTGAAGTCGGAACTAGCAAGTTAAAAAATGAACTTCGGGTGAATTTGTAAGACTCGAAATATAAAAAGACAGTTTAGCCAGGCTCTTACATTACCTGGAAAAGTAGAGAACAAAAATCATATTTTAAGAAATTTGAGCAACGTCAAGGCATGTACTTTGAAAGAGCTAGGAGCTGCAAGCGCCAAACCGGCCCCATTTGAGAAATTAGTTTATATAATAATTCTCTATATATCACAATTAAAGCTATTTTTGCATGCATGTATCCTGGTGATGTACACTTATCCTAGATCCAGTTTTCTGACCAAAACCAACCCCCTTTCTTCCTACAAAATTGAAACTTGCGAGCGATGCTAAACGTATATACTCACTCAATTGCTTATTATCATTCACTTTGCTTATCCTCCGCTGTCTATCTGGAAAAATAAGCATAATCTCGGGACATATTAGTGCCAGGGACAATTCGTTACGATGTATGACAACATGTGCTCTGAGCCCGACGACAATATGTGCAGAGCAGTAATATATACAATCGAAACAGTTATTTTTATCAATACATTAGCATACCGTACTCCATAGTTATAGTTACTTTTTCAACCCATTTAAAATAATATTTTTTCCCTTAAAATAATTATAGATTTCCTATTTATTGATTAATTACAAGACAAAAGTGTATGCTTTAAATAATGTATATTAAATCTTTTATTGTTGAATACATTGCAACTCTTTAATAGGATGTCTCCTGCGTGGCGCAGTGGTTAGAGCGTCTGCTCTAGATTTGCAAAATAAGGAGTAAATCTTTAGGTCGCGTGTTCGAATCCCAGGACGTAAAGACTTGTCTTTTAATTGTATTAGACCGTTTAAACCGAGGTCCCGTGTCGCAGTAGGTGCTGGTAAAAGTTCAGCGAGTCTAGGGTTGCTTCTCGCGGGTGACGAACAAAATTTTAAGCTGAATCTTAAAACAACAAGGCAATAAAGAAAAACACTGAACAAAATTGTATGTTTAAGTATTTCCTTTAATTATTCGTCAGGTAAAAAAAAAAACAAGGAAAGAGGGCGTATAAGGCGAGGACAATCCCCCGCTCTGAGACAAAATGTTTCTCAATTTTCAAAAATCACAGAAAGGTTTTATTTTTCTAAAATCATGTTCTCGGTAATGTCATCTTCAAAACATTTATTTTATTTTACTGAACGACTTATTATTTGATAATCTTTATTTCAAAGTTGACAGTTAAGCATATTTAGTGGAAAATGGGTTTATTGGAGCTATAAACAATGAATTTTGAACATGAATGGGTCAAGTCTCCATTTTTCGTTAACGCTTAAATGATGGAAACGTAAATGTAAAATCTATTTCATTTGTCCAAAAATTGGAATCTGAACCCATTCTATATGAAAATTGAAACTTTCTGGAAAAAATGTACGCTTCAATAAATCTCTTCGTTTAAATCATACTGACAGATATCGACAACGCATATACTTCGTAGCGTAGTGGTTAAAGCGGTCTACGAACAAAGCCTGCACTATGGAGAGAGTTAGAATCATACGTGAAGCCTTTTCTTTTTTGTTTTCCCATATCTTAAAAGCATGAGTGAAAACTAAATAATAAAATATTAAAACAATGAAAAACAGAATTAAAAGTGTAAAAGATTATATAAACAATATAATTTGAAAAATATAACTTGTAGAATTGAAAAATGACTTTTCTCAGAGCGGGTGGTGGAGGGGGGTGTCCTCGCCTTGTACGCCTCCATTCTTTCATTACATTGATTATTTTCTGATTGAAAGTAAAATAAAAAAAACACAGATCGTTCGTACGAAAAACATTGAATCTTACTCCGGAAATCGACTGCATAAATGAATTAAAGAAATATGCTCAATAGTTTTTCAAATTTACAACATGAGCCCGTGTCTACATATTAAGAAATAAATGTCAGTTAAGTCCTTTACATTCTGTAAGAAAGACATTTCAAAAGTAAAAATGCTAACGTAGCTTTATTCATGAATCCATGAAGATTCAATCCATAGAAATATTCATTCTTTAAGTGTTGGCATATATGCTGTCCGAAGTCAGATATTCACACACAGCCTTAAAGCAAAACTCATATTCGTCCTGCAAGAAAAACAATTGAATAATATGTTCTTTAGAATTTTTAAATGCATCAAACTCCTGATTATACACATATGCTATCCTAAATATCAAATTTGTGCCAATTACCTTGGTAGATATCATTTCCGGTCGGCGACATTGCAGTTGTTGTACTGTGGTAAATAAGTCTACCTCATCGTCCTGCCGTAGCTGTTCTATGGCGTTATACACAGCAATAAATACGCCACAGCACGTTGCTCCGTCCCTAGAAAAAAAATAAATCCTTCGACAAAATTATTCTTAACATAACATTATTCCTAAACAATACTTAAACAAATATTACTAATGTAAGCCAATGAGGACACTTTGGTTGGTTTTCAAAGTTTATTAATCCAATTCATAATTTTTGTGTATCGTATAGATTTTTAGTATTTTGAAATTTGAAACTTGATCCGTATAAACCAATACACTGTTGATATATATAAATGTTCAAAGGGTCTGTCCAAAATACCAAAAACTGAAGACCGAACTCCCAATAAATAAATAAGCAAAAATCCAAAAGAATAAAATAGAATGCTAAGAGAGAATTGATAATTTGAGAATAAGAACTGGAATGGGAATAAAACGGGAATAAGAACGGGAATGCCCTTTTTTGACCAGAACAGGTTGTGCTCAGTGGGTATCCATGGTCCCGGATATAAAAATACATTTCATTGGTTAACCCACCATCACTAACCGCATACGCTTAGTCCTTAGGTCTGTCCGTTGATCTATGAACCCCAACATGGCACCACCCTCAATGAATAATCATTACTTATATTCATGGGCTCATTCCCCATCTCTGCACCACAGGGTATTCTAGCCCTTAGCTCTTATATTTATTAACTTCAAAGTTCCCAATGTTATTGCTCTTAGTCAAAAATCTTAATAATACCATTGCATTTCCGTACAATTTTTATTACTTAATATCCATGGGCTTGATTGGTCTATTCGGATCAATTTCATTACAAGATGATTTACCAAATTAAAGTGTATTTGAGCAACAACAAAATCCAATTTGTTTTAACAAGATAATTATAGTTCATGGAATTAAGGTCTATTTTCCAATTATAAAGTCACTGTATGTAGTACAATAATAATGTACATTCTTGTTTAATAAACTTTCATTTTATTAAACTATCACTAATAATTTCACTATTTTAAATAAAATGATTATGATACTAAATGCTTATGGTCCAAGTTTGAAACGTTCAAAAAAAATGTCCATTCTAAACCCTACTGGTTTACACTAAGCACTGATAGTTCAAAATATTTATTTCTTGAAAGTAGTAATACATACTTTGAAATGAGGGTCACAGGGCCATCTGGATTTGACTTTCTATCCGAGCGAAACTGTTTTATCAAATTTGTTATTGACGAGGCTTGTGCTGGTAGAAGCTCAGACAAACTCCAATCAAGACATTCAATTACATGTACTTCATGACATTCATCCTACGGATAATGTGAAAAATATATAGAAGATTCCTTTTGACTTTTATTTTTTTTAAAGATAAAAATTGTTTTTTCGGGAAATTATTTTATGCGGGAAACATTATTTTATTTAAAAACCTTCTGATCTCAATGTTCGAGTTTCACATATTTTAAAATTCCTATTTGAAATTTTAGTATTTTTTAAAATTCAAGTAAATCTTTGAATCCATAATCTTTATATGATCTGTCTTATATAAATCAAAATGAAGATAAACGTACGTGTTTCATTTTGATTTTAATGTCTGTTTTTCGAATGTTGTGTGTAATCCTTTGATGTGTACTCTTTGAGATTTCATATGGAGCCAAATCAATCTTCTTGGCAGTGTTCTCAACCCAATCTTTTATCTTGTTAAAGAGAAAAATTTTTACTGGTACCAAAAAAAATTCGTTTATTTGAAATAAAAAATCAAGGTATATTTTTCACCTCGTTACTTTCTGATAAAGGGTTCAGTGAGATCAGGAATGGAGACTCCTGATCAATCAGCAAACGGGCGAGATCAATGGCGGCTCCTGATACCGGAAATTGCGCAGAAATGAACTCTTCAGCTCTGGTAAACGACTAAAAATGTCAAAAAATTAAAAAATTTCTAATACTGCTATTAAATAAGTTTTGAACATATAGAATCAGAAATATGTTAAATAAGAATTACCGAGACATTTACTGCATTGTAATATTGCTCTCGTCCCTTCACAGTTGATGTTAGATACACAAGATATCTTTCAACTGAAATTTATTTCAAAAAATTAATTTCTTTCATTTCAATATCCACATACAGTTTATTCGTTTAATTAAAATCATTTCAAAAAACTCTTTTTACATAACCTGGTAAAACAGAATTAGTAAAACTGAGCTTCATGTGCTGTCGTCCTGTTCTGTAATCGTCGGTGGTGTAGTGTGGCTTCAAACTGGTTACAGCCTTGAAATCCAAAATAAATTTATTGAATAATACGAGGGCTGTTCAATAAATAATGTCCTGAAGTTTATGACATACAATACAGATATCATATGACATTAAAATTGGCTTTCTCTCATAATTAAATCTTTAATGAATTTATAACAGTTCATGTGACCACTTTTCATCACATAGTTTCATTGTGAGAAGCTGGGAAACAAGGGCTTTTCGAGAGACTGCTTTATAAATGAATGGTAAAGAATCGGTAAACTAGAGTGAAAATAAAAGCTTAAACAAAGCTGCTGTAAAACAGCAACCAATACCTGTTTTATAGAGAAATGAGCAGGTGGATTTCAATGAAAAAAAATTATATAATGGGCATCAAAAATGGGTACCGTCCTTGCCAACAAAAAATTATAACACTTATGTACTGTTTGCCAAATTACAACAAAAAATACTTGATGATGTAGGATTGACTTTAAGACAAATAGCAAATTTGATAGACATCACATCAGGGGTAGTTTACACTGTTTTTAAGAAACGTTTGACGGTAAAAAAGTTAAGTACTCAAAGGTCACCCTATATTTTGAAAAATGAGTGAAAACGACAGCGTGTAAGAATGTCTTAACATTTTTTTTTAAATATCAGTAATTTGAGTTATCCACATTTTTTGGATATTCAAACAGATAATGGAACTTGAATCTATTGCTTAAAATCCTCAAAACAAAATTTACCATAAGATGTACTTGACAAAAACAGGGAAGGTCTAGCGAGAGCACAGAATTGCAAGAGCACAAAGACAGATTTATATGCAATGTTCTTAAATATTAGTGGTATTGTTGTTCAATTCGTATTCGGGGAAACAGTTTAATTTCTGGATGAGGCTAGAAAACAATTTTTATGCAAAAAAATCGAAAGGTTTATTAGAGGAAGGACCCAGAATCAGGAATCCACTACATTAAATTTCTTCATGACAGCGTCCAAACCCGCACGCCCTGAAGAGTAAAGGGGTTTTCGGGATACATAGATTGTTAATATTTTTCCACATTAACAATATTCGCCAGATCTATGACCTTTTGACTTATTTCAATTTGCAAACTTGAAAAAAACACCTTTGATAAGGAAGAAACAAGTCCAGGAAATCATTGGATCTGCCATTTTCCAGTATACCAAGGGTCATACCCAAAAATGAGTTTTAAAATCAATCAGAAATTGGATAAAAAAGGTTACGGACATGTGTTGTAATTAAAAGAGATTAATAAGTAAAATAATGAAGAAAAAATCATTGAAAAGCGTCTTTTGCTTCTTTCCGAGCACCGAGGACATTATTTATTGAACAGCCTTCGTATATAGCTAAAGTTTAAAATAAATTTACCATACCATTGTGTAGATGAAATGAGCTCATATAGTTTATTGATTAACAGAATTATCAAACTTCATCAATGATTTCCAGGAATTCATAATATTTAGTTCGATTTTAAATGTTCATCATACTTTTTGGTTTGCTTAAGAAACTTATATGTATTTGTAAGTCTTACGCTCGATATTGATATGACCTAAATTGACCCTATAAAGTTTGCAATATAAAATAAAATAACATAAGTAATACAATATACCAATGGGTCTTTTAGAAGAACACTTTTCAAAAAATGCATTTAGTATACTTTTTCATAGCAACAGTACACTTAACGTGACCTTTTTGCAAAATGAATCCTCAAGCTTAATCAATTTCACCTTAATCATGATTTACTTAATTAAACGATAACAATGCAATCAATCTTTTTAATAAAAAAGATTTAGTTTGAACACGTATATAGTAATTGAATCAATCCTGCAAATTAATAATAAAAAAGGAAATTCATATTGGTAATTAATGGATTTTAAAATGTTATATCATTAGATGACTAAAGGCCTCCTTGAAAAGCAAACTAAATTACATTAAAGGTGCAATCTGAAACAATATAATGCAATGTTTTATTATGCATGAGCTTACATTAGATTTTCAAATAATGTATTTGATATCAGTCATATTATGCTTATGCATGTGAAAGAAGTGTTCTCTTCTGGAAATATAGTTTTGAAATTAAATACTCACATTGAATTCATTTCTAAGTCGTTTTCGTGTTTCCGGTTTCTCGATTTCTCCATATAACTCCATAAACTCTGTCTTGCTTATAAAATTTTCCTTTCTTCTGAAGTACTCATACAGAGCGTGATAAAGGAAGACGTACTGATCCTTAAATGTATTATAACTGAGATAAGGTTTTAAGATGGCACATGGTAATTTTCACCATTTGAAAATTTAAAAACCAAGAGACGCACACAATAAACAACTTACAGCGTTCTGAATCATCGTCATCCTGTCTTTACGCATGGCCTTAACGAACTCGATGACGTTGATTTTGTCATGTTCCTCTCCGTACCTCGACAGAACGTCCAGAGCTATGAATGTCCCGGTTCGTCCGATTCCAGCACTAATTAAAACATTAATTAAAAATATTTAGGTTAAAATCAGGGGGAAAAATATTTATAATGTCTGTTTTGTTCCATACACGAACAAGTATTCACAATGTCGTCATTTTTTTAAAATTCTTTCTTTTTAAAATACCGTATAGCGGGTTTTCTTGGCGGGTGTAAAATTTGGCGTTTTGCCCGCTCCAGGGTATGCCAATAATTTTGGCGTAATTTATTTAAGCAGATGCAGGATTTAAGCTCTCGCAGATGAACACGAAGAAGAGTGCTGAATATTTTAAAGGTTAAAATTTAAGCGGACTATCATCAAAACGCCAAAATAAACCGAAATTATCACCCTTTTAAAAATTAGCTGCTATACTGTACAATATGTTTAATATTCAATTATTGACATCAATTATATAAAATGGAACTGGGAAACCTATATTCAATCTAGACATTATATTTATGAGTTGAAAAGCTTATGACGGTTACTAAGTTCCCTTTTTGTGAGAATCTGTAAGCAATCTGGAATGACTGGTTTTCTCTAATTATTATAGACAAGAGACAGTTTAAAATATGCGCTTTCCTTGTTAACCTAAACTTTAAATACCGATAGCCCTTGGTACCTTAAAGACCCAATTTTTACCGTAAGGTTACCTGTGGAGGGGGAGTGGTCCAAGTAACAGTGGTGTTATTAACCTGGAGACCCCCAATACCAAAGATGTCAAAAATCTATATACACGTAGCAGTACACAGGAAGTCTGTGTCTGGTGATCAGGGTCAACATTCCGTGTTTCGTGTCTAAATTTGAGTGAAATAACTTGAAATAATTGAAATATTTCAATATGAAATTTATTTATAAATACTTTCAGCGATTTCTAATGAAGAAAAAAAAATATAAAGAAATATAGTTTTTATATTAAAAAAAAAATGACAAATTAAAGTAAAGAACACAGAGTAAAACTACAAAGTAAAAATATCTTTTTTTATTAAACTTGTGTAAATATCGAAATAATAATAAAAAAATTTTATTCATAGGTAGGCCTATCCGAAATGTAAACATATACAATTTACCGTACCGCGATAGGAATACATGTATATTGCCTACTTTCTGATCAACAATAGTGTCGAAATATTCACCATTTCCGGGTGTTCATGTGTTTAATTTTTTTTCTATTGTTTGCAAGATTTCTTTTATACTTTTAAGAATTGATCTTTGGCTGTATATATTCACTTTTTAATTTCAAATATTGGGTATTGACAGTTGTTAGGAAATTCGAACTAAAAGTTAAAATCTCGAAACTCCTAGCTGTTTCTAGCATTTCAGAACTTGACAACAGGACATGGTTTAGATTTTATTCATATATATGTAGATAAAACATGGGATAGGGGATTTTTTTTTATCCGTGCCGTTTGTGCTAAATATATTTTTCTTATCAATCATATTCCAATTTTAATCTGCAAATCGCGTTTCTGTGCACGGACTGGTCTAAATTCTACAGCAGATATCTTGGAACGACATATCGACTAAAATGCAATATACTTTATATAGCCGTTGAGATTAAAAGCAAATATTTTATGAAGTCATGTTTTAATTATCTACTCTCAATTGTTTTTAAAATAAAATTTTACCAAGTTTCTTTTTTTAACCCCCGTGTATACAAGGCGGCTACATGAAAGTGTTTGACGAGTGACCAGGCAATCATTTTCAAAGGACACAAACTCAGACTATCAGGTAGCACGGGTAGCTGGCTGACAATCAAATCAGAAGCTGTTGTTCTTTAATGATTGACAGGCGGTAAATTATTGATCTTGAATCAGGTAGCTTTTGGGGCGTTAACATAAAAGTAGGTGTTTAAACTTCCTGTGTTCTATATTTAAAGCAAAAGTATAATAATTTTGACAACATTTTGATCTTCAGAGGATAGAAATGTACAACCAGACCTGCAATGAACAATAATTGGATGATTGGTGGGTCTTATTTTATGCCGGAAGTGTCTGAGAAACATGATCAGGTTCAGAGGGTTAGGCGTCCCGTGGTCTGGCCATCTGGTGAAATGGAATTGTAAAACCGTCCGTGACTCAGAAACCTAATAAACAGATGTTAGCAGATGTTAGCCGCAGTATTTGTTTGTAACAAAAGAAGAAGTAATAAAACAAAACTGTAATTTTAACAGGTTGAATTGTGCATTAAGAAAATTACCTTCTTTTTCGAAAGTGTCATTTTCCTAACAACATAGTATGCATATACTTTTTCTTCAATCAATTTCACAGAGAATGGACCCAGTCTTAGTTCTTCGCTCTCATTCGACCAATATTGATTACATTTCACCTTAAAATAAAATATTTCAAGCATATGTGTATCCTATTAATTAAAACAAAATAGGAAATAAGTAAACTATTTACATTGTTAGACCGGAAGTTTTATATGCAAGAAAGAAAAAAAATGATTACAGTACAAAAATGAAACATTGGGCTATTTGTGTATACTTCTTTATACAGGGTTACAGTGTATTTCCGTTCCGTGTCATTTTCGCACTTGCCAACACATTTTCCCTGTTTTCGCCGTGTCATAGTTCGGTTAAAGAAATTACGTAAATTTTTTTTTTGAATTGGCCCCCTTTTGCCCAGGTAAGAATAAGGCGAAAATGGCGAGGACATAATTTCCTGTTCACAGTATTTGTTTGATTTTCAAACCTTTGGTCCCTCAATAAGATTGGTCAACATAACGATGCATTCAACGTGTTCCTGCCAGACCATTCTCCACTGATCAACAATAGTGTTACTTCGGGGACCTAGAGAGAAAATATATAATTTTTCTTATTTATACATGATAAACAGATATTCTTATCTATACATTATTACACAGTAGTTTTATGAAGTAAGTATTGGAATGTAAACCCTTTTTATGAATCTCTCGGCTTTGGTGCTTCAAATTTTATTGTAAATAAATGTTTTACGTAGATTTTTACCTTGACATGCAATATACTCTCGTTTTCCATCCATATTCTAAACGAGAAATTATATGATTAGTCTTTTTTTAAAACAAACTAAAAAAGTCTATTTGAGGGTATTTGTGATTGAAAGATTCTTTTATACCTACCTCAATGAAATTTGCATTTATATAATCTGAATTAAATCCGTCACTTATTTCTAAAACAACCCTTGAATGATCATCTGAAAAAATAAAATTTAATTCAACAATATTAGTTATAAAAACCGAGTTTTGACTTTAAAAAAAGTAAAATGAATCTTCCGTTGGCGGTAAATGATGATTATTTAAAGCTTTCATTAAGTCAAATGTTGACTTATTGTTTGGCCTCTATTTCTGCACCGAATTATCCGTTATTTCCCGCCCATGATAGAGAGCACGCAGCGAGTTGACCGGTCGGCAAGGAATGCTAAATCTTCCACTTGGCACTTGGCATTTGATCCCATCTTTGATGTTTAAGAGGTCACTGTTTACATTCGCTGTTTCTGATTGTACTGTTATTTAGAATTTTGAGCTTGAATTCTGTTCGTTATCTTTTTGTATTTCATCAAAGAAGAAAAAATGAAGCCACATTAAGACCGCATACGGTGGTAAAGTTAATCATATAAAATAAATTACTATTGGAAATATACATCTAAGAAAACAATATTGTACATATAATAAAGTGTAAAGTACTTGCATGGAAAAGTTGTCTTAAATCTGTTTTTAGGCATGTTTGCCTCCTGTTTTGCAGTCGTACAGTCAAACCTTTCACCATAAGGAAGTGACTAAACCATGAAAAATATATTTAAGCATTGACTGTTAAATATCAAAATCGAGAATTCTTCACTCACAGAACTTAAAGGAAATGCTTCTTTTAGGACAGATGATACAAACAGAAAATGGATGGCTGTATTGGTACATATTTTAGGCCTTATTTCATTCAAAATGACGCAAATAATAAATTTCTTGAATATTAAGAAATTGAAAACCTTCTATGATGTTCAAACCCCTGCCTCTCTGACACCATTCTTATTAATCGATACAAATATTTTTTAAATCTCAAATTCCATTTTTGGTGAAAATTTGAATAAAAATGAAAAACTACATGGTGAAACTTGTTCATTTTACCCATTAAAACATGACTGAAGTTGTTATTTTCAAATCTTTTGACAAAAGCTTGTTTGTATCATCTGTCCTTAAGGTGTACATTTAGCAGCTGCCAGGATGGTGAGTACACTGTTCTTCAGCATGTGAAATCCACATGAGTTTCGGGGCAAGCATGTTTACTTTTAATCTTCTTTACATTAAAAGCCGCCTATGGCTTAAAACAATTTGTTTCAAAGCGAATGAAAGCAATTATTTTATTTTCTCTTTCATGCATTGCCTGCCGACAGCCTAGTTATTTATTTAATTTACACAATAACATATAGTGAAAATATTTTCTTGTGAGAACCTTTTAGTGCATTTCCTAAATGTGTTGGTTTAGTTGTATTTCACAGATTTTCAAAACATTTTAATAGCATCATTTGCTATACCTTGAATTCTTTAATAAATCCTGCATTTTTATTAGCTTCTCGTTGCTTTATGACATCGTGTAAATTTTTGACCGGAATATCTTTAGCTACTGTTAGGTTCTTATAGTAGACAGCTTCTTCCGGATCCTCTTCGTACGGTTCTTCTTCCGGATCCTCGATAGAAGTTGGCATAGGCATAATATTGGTAACGACTTTGCCTTGAGCTATTTAAAAGATCTTTTTTACAATTTGTTAATATTATGTAAAGAATTCTAACATTTTAGAGTTTCTTTAAAGAGCAAACACAAACAAAATCTATCGATATTTGTAGGTAAAATAAAGTACAAAAACCCCGTACAGGTAATTATCTGAACAAAAACAGGAAAATCAGATACTAAGTAACTTTGAAACAAACAAAAGGAACAAAACATGTATTTACCCATCAGCAATATGGAGTATATACATGCCTTTAATATTACGAAAGGTAAAACTCTTTTTCAATATACCTGGCGATCGATTTTCAAAACCATCGGTAGCCGTCGTAGGAGCAGAATTATTTGGATGTTTTCCTCGTCTTGATCTGTAAAGATTAGGCACGTACGTAAATGGTATGTCTTTAAAATATAAGAAAAAATACTTGACGTGATAAAGAATTTAGAAATATGAGACGGCATTGCAATATTAAAAACTCTAATAATATAAATATGTAACTGTATTGGGCATACATACTTGAATACCGTAGGTTTGTCACTCAAAATCTCAACATATGTACAATTCGATAGAATATTTTACCTGAAAAGCAGGACAGCAATTACTGCTATTACGAATAGTATTAAAAAAGAGCCTAGTCCAGCACCAATTGCAGCAAACGGGGTATCCAGTGGGCTGTTTTTAATGAGAGCTATGTTGCAATAAAATATTTTCTATTATTCATTAAAATATTAACTTTATAACATTCTTTTCTTACAAGACTTTCTAAAGAAATATTTTTTTTTCATCATGACCTTCGATTTTAAACCGACAAAAAGCTGTATGTATCTCTTGTCAGTGAGCAAATTTGACAAAAATTTGTATTCTAAATGCAACATTTGTTACCAAAAATAGTTTAATCATATTGGGAAAAATATTCTAAAATCTGATGTTCTCCTACTCATGATTATATAATGCATATTATTCACGTGAAAACATATGAATATGCACAAAATTAATATATTCTTCGTATGTCATTCTAAAAGTTAAATACAAATCTGACGAACACCATTCCAAAAAAATATATTAGCTTGACATTTTTTTAAAATGTTGGATTTATTAAACTTTTCAATTGACACATACGATTGGTGCATTGGTCGTCGGAAAATTCTCCAGAGCATCCATGCAAACACGTCCCATTTTTAGAATAACACGTCCCATTGTAACAATATTGGCTACATCTATGCTGACAGTTTTCACCGAAGAATTTTGCATCACACTCTAAATTGTCAATTAGTATTTTGCCAGATTCTCATGTGAAGTGACTTTAGAATAGAGTGAGCAACCAAAATAAGATCATTAAATTTTATGTTCTGTTTATTCTTACCTTGACAACGTTTTCCTTTCCACCCGGTTTTACAACTACAACTCCCGTCTGTTTGATTACAGTTTGAAACACAGCCAGAACTACAGACATTTCGACAATCAGTTCCAAAATGGCTGTCGATGCAGCCATTGTCACATTTTCCAGAATTTCTGTTACATCCGTTTTTGCAGTAAGGGGTACAGGTTTCATTACAAATGTCTTTGTAATAACCATTTTTACATCCTTCACTACAGTAGCCAGTGATATTGTTACAAGCATTGCCTCTGCAAGAAATACTGCATCGAGAAGAACAATTTGTTCCGAAATGTAATGAATCACATCCTGTATTTAAAAGTAAAACAGTGTAGCTATCTTTTTTTTTGTATCAGAAAAGTAACCTCATAGTCATGAAATAGTTTCTATCAAATGAAAAATTTTCATTGGGGGAAATTTTAATTGTTTTCGATATATTAGGAGACAAACCATTTCATGACCACCAGGAAATATAAAATTTCATATTCATTAGTTCTTATATATAAACCGGTGACGGTAGCCTAGTGGCACGGCGTTCGCTTCGTGATTGGGAGGCCGGGTTCGATTCTTGTTCGTAGCGCCGCGTCATACCCAAGACTTAAAAACACAGGTAGTGACATTTCCTTCTTCAAGCGCTCGGCATAAGAGGTGAAAGTCACGGGTCTTATGACCTTACAAACATAGTTCCCTTGTCAAGGTAGGCGTTGGCACGATAAATATTCCTCACTACCCAATGGTCCTGATTGCCGAGTCAAAGACAAAATTTGAAGCCCTTCACCGGTATATGGTGACGTTTCCATATGAGTGAAAAATTCTCGAGAGGGACGTTAAACAATATAAAATCAAGCAATCTTACATATTATATTGTCCAACCACGAAATCATATCCTAAAAAAAACAATATTGTCCCTTTAAACTTCGAAAATTTGTCCCGATGAAAATACACAAAAGTAATTTTACAGAATTTGAATGTAAATCTAAAGTCAAAGCAAAGTGATATCTCATAATAATATGAAAAACCAATCACTGAGTTTAAAATTGGTCATTTAATATATACATATAATTCTAGAGGTTCAGTAGAAAAACATTTTGCACAATTTTTCACATTTACTGTTACCGTTCACGGTAGCTCAGTCGGTAGAGCGCTCGCTCCGTGATCGGGAGGTCATGAGTTCGTATCTCGGCCGTGACTGACCTAGTCGTTAAAATTGGTAACGACTGTTCCTTCGCCATGTGCTCGGCACTTTGAATTGAAAGTTGCGGGTCCTTCGGATGAGACCTTTAAAACCGAGACCCCATGTCGGCGGCAGGCGTTGGCACGATAAAGATCACTCACTGCTCAATGGCACTGAGTGCTGAGTAAAAGACATAATTTGAAGCCCTTCACCGGCATACGGTGACGTCTCCATATGAGTGAAAAATTCTCGAGAGGGACGTTAAACAATATACAATCAATCATACTTACTGTCGCAAAGACCACCTGTCCAGTTTGATTTACACCCTTCATCGCATGTACCATCTGTTGAATTGCATGTTTCTAATTTACAAAATGGGCTGCATTGATTCTTACAGTAGGTACCAAAAAGTCCTTTTTCACATCCACTACATTTACCAGTGAATCGATCACATTCCGGAGGGAAACATTTAGAACTGCAAGTGTTTTCACATTTGTTTCCAAAATGATAGTCTTCACAACCTTGAGAACAAGTTCCATTCTCTTGGAAACACGTGTCTCCTAAACACCGATCATTACACATTGCATTGCATGTTTTATTCCAAAATCCAATTTTACATTCACCACAATGACCGGTTGCAAGCTCACACGTGGCATTCAAACAATTTATACTACAAGCTAGTAAAAAAAAATCTATTAAACCTCATTCTATTGTACATCACGTTTCATTTCAATTAATGCATGTACAATTTCCGATTTAGTATTCCTAACTGAAAAAGACAGATCAAATATTTAAATCATTTATGTTAAGGTATACTTACAGCAGGCACCACTGACTATATCACACGTAGAGCAACCTTCACACGGCGAGCAATTTTCCCCAAAATGACCAACCTCGCAACCTTTTAAAAAGCTTGTATTAAGAATCTGTTCAGGATTACATTGTATAACACTATTCTGACTATATGTTCCAATCAAATTGAAGCAAAATATTCAAAGTCAACAAAATTTCAAGCATACACACTTGTACAAAGAAATGTAGTTTTTATTGTCTGAGGCCATGCAAGAGTAGAATCAACATTTATATAGTACATGTTTTATGGTATGTATCAATGAGGCCAGTGACATCAAAAGATCATAATGAAGGATTACATTCTAAGTTACTGTCATCGAAGCAACGATTTGAAGTAAAAGAGTTTCAATGGTTATGCTGACCAATATTGAAAGCGAAAAAAAGTAGACCTAAGATTACCTACCTTGTCAGTATTTTTTAAATGTAAATTTACTATTCATATTATTTTTATTGTCTGATCTTTTACACAAATATACAAACTTTTCAATAAAAAAAAATATGAAAAAAAGTTTAAAGTATGATTAAATTCAGAGATGTAAAATCGATAAACTTTATACAGGCACACAAATCTATTCAGAATACCTTCAAGAAACTTAATGATTACCAATCACTTCAATTTCACATATTTCCAAGACAGGTCCTTTGGCATCTACATCTTCTGGTGCTTTGTATGTTGTCTCGATGATGACGTATCTCGCCGTCTGTTTACATGGGATGTCAATGACAGGAGAGGGCGTGGCTGGGGCTGTAGTGTTATCTTTATAACATCGAACCCTATGTGTTTGGGTGTCTGCCGATGAATTTGATACATCTATGTAAAACTGACGAAGCCGATAAGGCGGCCAGCCTTCTACAATAAGTTTATAAATATATCTTCGATCAGTATCATTTATTCAAGTTATTTAAAGTAATCTACAAAATGGACAAATATAGCTTTTGTAAAGTTTTTTATCTTTTACTCTGATAATAGTTTAATTCTTAGTTAGGAAAGTGCATCGCGATTGTATGTAAATTATTACCCACGTTTTGTTTCACATGTTTTATTTATTTCTAAAAGAAAAGAGCACGTCATATCCTTAACACAGAATAAACCATACCAAAAAACATTTTCGAATCGGATTAAATACAAAAACAGGGATTTAAAAAGAAATCACTTTTTTCAAGTTAAACTCTCGTAGTTCTTTGGCTTTGTAGAAAATGTTACTCTAATTAAAATTCTCCTCACCTTTTCTTTTCAATTAAATTAAACTATTAAGTTTAAATACACATCAAAACTCAGACAACCTAAATACATTTAATAAGTTAAAAATAGAAACAACAAGTTCAAAATGATAATCGGTGTTATAAGATAATTCCTCAAGACAATAGATTTTAGTACATTAAATGAGTTTTTGATAGCAAAAAAATTACTTTACTTTCATTTCTCAGGTAAAGTTTGATAGATTTAAGACTGTAAGTCGTTTGGAGATCCAGCTGAAACCAAGCCAAAGCCTCATCTTTATCGGTATGTGAACACTCTGGATAATACTGTGCGTAATTTCCGTCAACAGCAAATGATGCTTTTCTAAATGTTGAACTTTGGGAGACAGTGACTCTAGGAGCTGTGGTTAAGTTTTCTGAAAAATGTAAGTGAATAAACAATGGCATATGCAATAGAAGGATCGTGCTTTTCCTTCTAAAACAAAAAAAAGTGTAAATGTAAATTGCATGAGAATAGTACGTTCTGGAAGATCTCTGTAGGAGATCATGTCAATGTAGCATTGAGATGTCGAATATGATAAAAGATCCATTAAAGCGATGCAAGTTAGGATCAGATAAAATGCATTTAAACCCCAATGGTGAAATCGCGTTGACATAAGGAAGTTGAAATTTAATGTTCACACCCGTCGTGTACTCCTTAACATAAGTTGCTGACAAAATCATCGTGTGTAACTGGCAGGTGACTTATTTTGTTAATGCCATTCATATTTCATAAATTTATAGCAGTTCACATTCGATTGATATATTTTCTTTTATGAAATCACTAGGGAAAATTAAGTTATAAGAATTTGTGTCAATTTTCCTTTGTAATTTTAAATATTTTTACGTGAAAAAAAGTCACACAAATGACCTATACATGCTTTGGGTAAGGAATGAAGATTCGACGGGGTAATTTTACTGTTTTGATCTATTTATAGGGGATTAAAGAAAATGGTATAATTTATTTCTGTATTCAAAGAAAAAAATATATGATTCTTTTTTAATCTCAAAATGGAAAGAATTTACCCTGAACATAAACATTGATACGTTTTAGATGATGACAATTATTAAGTGATTAGAAATATTTTTAAATTCGTTCATTTTGAAAAATATATAAATGTGACTTAAAAAGAAAGTTGGTTTATTACATCCAACAGTAAAGTTAAAAAAAAAAAACACACGAAGATTGTAGTTATTCTTATAAGTACGAAAGTCCAGGAGGGTCATTCGAGATTCGAGTTTCGAAATCCGATTTTCGATATTCGAAAATCAAAATTCGAGTTTCGAGATTCAAGATACAAACTAACCAATCAAAATGCAGGTTCAACATTTGATTAATCCCCTTTATTATGTTTTTACTATCAATAAATCATTTAATATGTTTATGACAAATGGATCATTTGCTTAAATAATTTTGCAAGAAAGATGGATATATGTATCAAAACAAAATAAAAATGATTTTTCGGTAACATTATGAAAAATATATGTAAAATCTTATTTTTCCTCATTTAACAAAGCAATAGATACGTATATAGAATATTATACATGGTCTTATTATTGAATAGCGGAGTTAGTAGGTTGACAATTTTTTCAAATAAGAACATTGGTGAGGAAGAAAAATTTTATTTACGTGAAATACTAAGGAGTATACATTAAATTGCATTGCCCCCCCCCCCCAATAATTTTGCCGATATATAGAATACTATAGAAAACATAACTACTATATGCTTATGCCCCCCTCAATTTTGTGCCCCTCAATAAAAACGATTGCTGACTTTTTTTTGCTTTATTTTGGTTGTCAAGAAATTTTTGGTGGATGAAAATTGAAAATGTATGGCTGTGCCCCCCCCCCCCCCCCCCCCCCCCCAAATGAAATGTGTGTTATGGTTTTACTAGCATATTTTAGTCTTTGACCATAAAATCACAGTTCTGCAGCTAAGCTAGACCCATCTCCTATTTAATATGGAATAAGATAAATTCCAGTCTGTATTGTATCTATGATTTTAATTAATTCAAGTAATCAAAGCCTTAAACCAAGATAAGTAATTATGAACTAAATTTTTATGCAATTTTTCTATTTGGAAACTTACAAAATTTTTTGTGCCCTAGAAAAACGAGATTAGATAAATAAGATTATTTACAACTTGATTAATAATGATGGTAAACATATAGACAAACAACAAGAGATCTTGGAAGAAATAAGAAAATTTTACAAAATCTACATGAAAATAAAGATCAAGAACTTGATTATGTTAATCTTGAAGATGTATAAACTTGTGTATTGATTGATTTATATGTATCTTGCGAAACCCGAGCGGTTTCCTTGTAAATAATTATCGAATAAATATATTTATTTTTTTCATGCATCGCAAGATTGACAATGATTGTTGATAACCACACATTTGCCCCCCCCCCCCACCCCCGCGCTATTTGACCATTCCCCTAATATTTTTCAAATAAATTATACTATAGAAAACATATTAACTATTTATTTAAAAATAATGTCCAATAACCATGATAACCCCTATATTTATAGGGAAAGGAGTTAGGATAGGGGGATTTACAATATTTTTTTAAGGGACTGTCTCAGTGTTTTATACACTTGGCCACTTTCTCCATCATACCCTGTCACAAACTCTATCCACCTTTAAACCCGTAGTACTAATTATTACAGGGACTTAGCATCGATTTGGAAGGGGGGGGGGGTCAGACATAAATATTATTTAAACCTGAAAAAAAAAACTGACAGAAAACTGAGTCCAAACCCGAAAATCCCATTTCGGGGCGTGAAAGGGGGCAGGGGGGTCAAACCTCATTTAGTACCTAATTTCTTTTAATATACTACTATTTAACCTTCTTAGACTATATTGCGCCAAAATGTACGGGGTAAAGGGCTGGCAACAGACCTTTCGATGAACATTTTTAATAGAAAAATTATGCTTAGAAAAAAGGGGGTAGGCATGTACTGTTAATCTAAGTTTACTATTATGTCATCCACCTTGTAACCAAAGTAGATAAATAAAATACGAAATATATATTTTCTTTATATAATTCTACCATAACTTTTAAGAAACTATTATAAATTTAAGCATTTCTTGCAGACCAAAATCCAATATTTCTTTAAATTTCGTTTTAATATTATATATATATATATATATATATATATATATATATATATATATATATATATATATATATATATATATATATATATATATATATATATTACACGTTTTATTGCGTTGTTATCTAATCAAATGACCTCTTTGGTATAAATATACTCTACGATTTCTTGCTAGTAAAAAATAAATAATAAAGGGGCGTAATTGAATCTCAAACCGCCTTTTAATTGGTTGGTTTTGATTTTGAATCTCGGAACACGAATTTCGAATCTCGTATTTCGAACATCAAATCTCGAATGAGCCTTCTGGGCTTTCGTTTATAAGACTCTCAATTTCAGTCTTGAAAAATACTGCAGGTCAAGAAAATAACAGAAGAAATCTGAGATTCCCAGTATTGAATTGGTTTATCTATTTAACCAAATCATTGAGAGATTCTGTCTTTTGGCCAATTATTTTCGCGTTTTTATAAAGCTAATTGTTATGTTAACAAACTTCATAAAGAAATGAAAAATCAAATATCTTTAACATGCCTTTAAAAAGAAATTAAATAAAAATATCTAGTTAGGCCAAAATATCATCAAGAAAACCCACTCCTGAAATCAATACAGCAGTCAAACTATTCTGTTCTGTGTGTATGCAAAATGACTGAGCATATAAGAAGTTACAAGTATATTTAAGAAATAAAGTCCGCGTTTTCGTAAATGTTGCAGGATAACCTCCGTGATCGAGAAACCTTGTTTGAAAGATAAAACCGAGGCGTTAGCCGAGGCTTATATATTTCAAACAACATTTCGAGACCGAGGAGGTTATCCAGCATCATTCACGACAACAAGGACTTTATTTCTATTCTACAAAGATCGCTTTACATGATAAAATACGGCAAATCGTTTCCTCTATAGAGAAACGAATTAGGTCATCATGTCTCGATATCGCTGTTCCATTTAACACCAGAGCGAAATTTTGTTTTGATTACATACCTGTGTATGGAAATCAGACGATTTGAGCTTTGGTTGCATAAAAATAGCCATTATGTTTAATTACAAATTTGTTCGTTATGTGTATTAATTAGTTTTAATGAATAGATGCAGTAACAAAATCATGTTCCGGTTTTACTAAAATCATGTTGTTTAAATGTGTAGGAAGGTCCGTGAAATAGCCCGCTTAGCTATAAAAACTGACCTTCTTCAGCAACTTGATGCAATTTACAGTGTTTATACTGCAAAAAACGACACATCGGTGCGGTCTAAAAAAGTATTTCATTCTACAAACAAACAAGCAATCAAATTGTTTAAGTTTGGTACGTGTTTCTGATCTAATATTTTTTTGATGACGTTCGTGATTTATTGGAGAATAATGTCCGGCGGTTTCCTCTGATGTTTACAAAAATCGTGGTAGAATAAAGTGTAATGCTTTGTCCAGAAGGGTTTATCCTGTAAAAAGGACATATTATGACAACTAAACCTCTATGAATGACCAGAAGAGTCAATATTATAATCTTTGCATAAAAAAGGACTGTTGGTAATAATTAAATAACATCTGTTTGAAAAAAAATTGCATAAATATACATGTACTTGACTGTTTACAAAAAATTTTGCATAAATATACATGTACTTCGATCGGCATCAACAATAACAAAAATAATACCAGCATCAATTAATAACGACATACATCATTGAAACACAGAATTACGAAATAATGGTGCTACGTCCTGAAGCATTGATCTTATTATAAAAACAAAATCTGTCTCAATAATAAGAATTTCTTGAGTTAAATCAGTAAGGAATAGAAGAAAGCTAAGGTTACAACGCAGCACATTTAAGGTTACAGTAAGGAGGCGGGGCCTAATTTATACGGGGAATGTTGACCATGACATCAAACAAAAATATCAGGCATTTAAATACCACAAAATGAATTCAATTGTTATCTTAAGCTGTTGGATAGCTTTTAACTACATCAAAACTTACTATAACGTGTAGTTTTGTCATTTGTAAAATCACACACAACAAAATATAAACGATTTATTGGTCACAATGCACTTGTCAATGTTAAGTCCTTTTTTTAAAAGTTGACGCAGTTTGTACACAGTGGGAGGCTGATCAAGCCACCTTTTGTACGATGTAAAATGTCTTTTGATATCAAGTAAAATATAATATGCAGTTATATAAATGGCAGTTAGCTCGGATGTCTAGTTTATTATTTTATTTAGATATTGTCTCTATCATCTCTAAACAAGTGATGCTGTTGTATATTTGTATGCAGTTTTATAAAAACGTATTTAAAGGGCCCTAATATATCGGTTTATTGCAAGGGAATACCCTGAATATATCATGCAAATTTTTACATATAAACTCAATAAGCATTTAGATATTTGAAAAGTGCTGCGAACT